TACTTTTATACAATGGAATGGGAAGCCCCACCTTCAAAAGGAAGGCATTTGTAATGGATCATGTATTGCTCCAATCTTAAGTAATTTGTTTTTAGCCAAGCTCGACAGAACCGTTTCCGGTGACCTTAGTGACAACCGAATCATGCGCATCTTTAGATTTGTTGACGACTTCCTCATTATTCTTGACTGTGATCCCATTTTTTGTGCCCTCGATATCCTCAACTTCATCAAGGAGCGGTTTAGTCCCCTTGTTTTAACCCATGAGTTGCCTCTTAATAACACTCTCAGATTTTTAGATATCGCTCTCACGTTTTACCTAGACCACATTTGTTGGATGAACAAACCGAGGAGTAACAAACCCTTGCTTCCGTACCATTCCGCCTATACTAAGCTCGTAAAACGAGGCATTGTAAACATGTGCTTTAGTAACGCCTTGCAGAAGTCTTGTCCACATCTGATGGCAGCTAGTTGCAAGGAACAAGCAGAACGACTTCTGGACGCTGGCTACCCCTCTCACGTACAGGTTTCCGTCGCGGGAATTCTGGTCAAGAAGCTTCAGTCCTTGCATCAAGCTCTCCCTCATGTTGAGCCAGTAAGACGTCAGAAGCTGGCCGTAGTGCCTTATCTGCATGGAATCTCCCACAACTTGAAAAAGGTTGGAGAGCGGGCCAATGTAAAGGTGGTGTTTTCTGCCCCGAAAAAGCTCTCGCACTTGTGTATAAAATTTGTTTCACATGCAAAACCGGGATGCTCTAAAAAGCACTTAACACTCTTTGTCACATGCGCACAATTTGTAATCTATCAGATACCTCTTTCATGCGGTAAACACTACATAGGACAAACTGGCAGGTGTATTAATGACCGGCTCCGCGAACACGCTTAATTGCAACGTAAAAAATGGTCGAGATGGTTTTTCGGCACTACATTGCAGCACGTGTGGCTGCAAACCACTTTTTCATGGTACGGTAATCATAGGAAAAAAACAGAAATAAAGTAACAAGGGAGATTATTGAAGCAGAAAGGATCAGTAGATTAGGGCTGAACTGCATCAGCAATCCTTCTCTCGGTCTTTGTGAAAAAGAATTGTCGTTTTTTGAGATCATAAGTTTTTAGCGCATGGCAATAGAGGGTTTTTCATCTGTTTGTCTGTTGTTTCCGAATTTCATGAGCATATATATGTACGCTCCTCGAAATAAAGTTTCGTTGGAAGTAAGCGCTCCCTTCTGTCCCTTCCCTTGTCCTATGTTTCAAAACGCGCTACGCCGATTAAGTACATAAATAAGTTGTTCAGTCACCCTACAGCAGTGTGTAACAGGCAGAACACAACCTAACTAGGCACAAACAACAGAGTAAAGACGCATGATTTAGTGCGAAAACATGAAGAGAGTCACCCAGGGCGAGCATCCCTATGAAAGGCAGAATACGGTTTACTCGCCGGTAATGTTATTGTTGCGTAGGAGTCGTACACTGATTCAGTAGAGAAGAGCAAAGATATTAACAGCAAACTGTAGTCAACGCATTTTATCCGCCGACAATCGGCTCAGACCGCACGCAACGAAGCGCCGCTGCATGTATTTGTATACGCGCCGCCGACCACCTATCCACACTTTCGCGGCATGGTGCTGCTACCTATAGGCCGATCTCACCGCGAATACCACCTGTCAAAGAGTCCCCCTGGTTGTTTTCTTCATTACTCGCTATCATGGAGCCCGAAGGGCCCATGTGCCCCCCAAAAAAGCTACTGCGCGTCCTGCAAGTCGCCAACCCACTTCATGGCCTAGCCTCCAGTCGAAGTGAATTCTGCCTCACTGAAAACCACCCCACCTATGCACCTCTCCATTTATTTCCACTATCTCAAAGCCTTTCTCTCGACTAATCTGCCATGTCTCTTTGTGAAACCGGCGGCAGGGCCCCTGGCGGGTTCCCAATCTGTCGATGCGGGGAGGGCCATGGCGGCGCAGCTCAGAGATAGGGCAGTGCGCCCACTGCCCCCTTATTCTGGTACACTGTACTACACAGAGGACCTCCGTGCTGTACTAGGTGTTCTGTGACTGCACTCTGTGGCGACTATGCAAATTGTCACGTGATTGGTTGACCATGGTGGCCTACCGGCATCACTGTGAGTTGTCCAAAATTCACAACGAAGGAAGAAACGACGGCCCCGCGTCAGGCCTGTGCGCTTTCCACGCTCAGGAGCGCGCGGAAACCGAGGAACGTCTGCTGCGCGCTGTAGTGTTACAGCGAAAGCTGTTATAAGATCACAACTCGAGTCACGCGCGGCGCCGTAGTTGTCCGCCACCGGTGTCCGTAATCACATCGCACGAAATTAAGAAAAAAATTTTTAGTGCCAATGAGACAGTTGGGTTTGAACTCGGGTCCGCTGGGTGCCAGCCGAGTAATCTACCATAAAAAAAAAAAAAAAAAAAACTGAGCCATGCCGGTGCTTGGCATTCATTTGCAAACTTGCCTTAGGCAAACTTGATGTCGTGAAAGCAATCTCGTTAGTACGACTGATAAAGCGTTTTAAAACGGTGAAAAAACAACAAGTCATCGCACCATGCGAATAGCGTAACAAGTGGGTTGTGCAATGCTACAATCCATTACAAAAGCTTGTTTTTGATCACCTAATGACTGTGGCGCATACCCTCTTCAGGTACAATTCCTTATCCTCGTCAGCCAATGCATGAACGATTGGCACATTGGCACAAAGTTTCTCGCAAGTGTTAAACGGATACCACGCTTCTCAGAAAAATGACAAAAAATAGCATAGTGAATGCCGGCCTACTACACAATTTTATTATTAATGTCCTATTGGGTATCAAGAAAGTGTGCTTGCAGCAGTTACTCAATGAGTGTTTAGAAAAGGTTATGAAAGGCCACTCTTCTAGCTTTCGCTGCGACTGTGCTGCACCTTCTGCGCAGGCCTCGTGTTTTTTAGCGTTGAATTTTTACAGAGGGCACTTGAAGTAAATGTAACTTTAATAATGGAATTTCCGGAGCCCCCCACTACGGCGTCTCTCATAATCATATAGTGGTTTTGGGACGTTAAACCCCACAAATCAATCAATCAATAACTTTAATAATGGAGTTTACCCATCTTTAAGCATTGTGTTTGTGCAGGGGAAACAATATATTGCAAGAAAACTATGTGCAATATGAGCAGGCATAAGAACGGAAGGAAAAGGAAGTTGTTCGCACAGATAATTGGGCATTGGCATTGCATACGCAAAAATTAAGAGTGATAAAAGGAATTAAAATACATGCACAGTCACCTCAAATACTTACACGCAGTGACCGCTTCTCTTACCAGTACACACGAGCACCATTGTTCATGGTCACCAGCAATTTTCTAGCCATATGCACACCGCTGCATTTGACAATTTATTAGCCTCGACTCAAAAGAAAGAGTTGGGGTGGCCACACGACCACAATACTGTTCGTTTATTTTTTTTTATGATGTTGCTACCATACAAGGCTCACCGAGCACAAGGCTTGAGTTAAGTTCTGATATTTGAAAGAAACGTAATGGCAGGTAAAAGTACATTAAACTCTACAGACTTGTGCATAAGACGTGCATTACAGGAAATGTTGTACCAATATCCAGATATATCCTGAAATTAAAGCCACAAATATCCATCTTCCTATTGCACCAGTGATATAGCTGCTTGAAAAAAATAGGGTAAAATGTTTAGAAACATGGACATGCAATAGTTCAACCACTTTAGAAAATGGTCCGAATATGGAGATTACTTATAAGCCTAGTCTGAAAAAAAAAATGCAACATGTGATGATATATAAATTATGGCACCATCTCTTGAAGGTAACCGTAATGGGATTCGAAGCAGCAGAGGTGCGCATGCCTATGACTCGGCTGAAACGGGCGTCAACACTGGTGCTGGAAGAACGGTTTGAAGCGAAACTCGGTGTAGCCTTCACTTGAGTAAATGTTTCTTTGAAATGCAGAGACATGGGAGGTGGGTCGATTGTAAGTTTCATCCCAGATAAACGAGCCAAAAGAGTGTTTCCACTCGAGGAGCGGTCAAGCGCTGCGGGCAATGGAAAGGGTCCAGCTAGAGAAAGTGTGTTGCGAGCAGGCGGAGGGACACCCCCACCTAGGTGTGTTGGGAGGGGTCTGCAGCTGCTGTCGGTGAGACAGAGAGTGACGTCAACGTGCAGCTGTGACTTGACCTACTTGGCATCGTTCCAACAACTGCAGCGGTGGGGGGGAACGCGGTGCAGCACGTTGTCACGGATGTACAGAATTACACAGGCTAGTTAAAGAGCTGCTTTGCATCTAATGTATAGAGAGGTATTGAGACTAGTCGTTTGGGTGCCTGTGGCCATTCATACGTCGGGTTTGTTCCTATCTAGAAGGATTGCTGAACGTCAGTATGAAACGTTTCTGCAAGTTGTGTGCATTGCTTCATGCCTTCACCTATACTGAATGAAAACAGTTTCAAACAACTCACTTTCAAGCTTCAGACATCTTCGAGGCTCTTGGTGGCTAGCATTTGCACGGTTCAGACACTTTTATAAAAGTATGTACACGAGTAGTTACATGAAATATATTTGTTCGCACAGTGAATGAGTGGGCGTCGATAGGGCACCTGGATACAATTTCCCTCTATTTCTTTATCAGCTAAATATATTGCTTACACCACACTTCCATGTTTAAGCTGCCAAGCACTGACACAGCTCCTAAGTACTGGCACGAAATTTTCCCGTTAACTGACACGATAATCTCTTCAATAAATATAAAAAGATTGCCTGATAGGTAGAGCAAGCCTCTTGTGTACCGTGAGCATGTTTAATCAGCTCGTGTGAGCTAAAAATCCCATTTGTTTTTGGGTGATTGATTGTAAGATAGTGAAATCGGGACACGCTCTGGGTTCCCTTCAAGAGTGAACGCGTCTGTGAATCCAGTATTTGACAAGTGCCCTGTCAAACTACTCAAGCAGTGATTGCGATCACTTTTCGAGAAATAAGAACAGAAAGAAAAGTGATGACGATCATATATCTTTTAATGAAAGGTAATGAACAACTGCGTGACTACACTCCTTTAATCCTCACACAGTTTTTTGTTTATTACTTTTAGCCAATTACAATTTTCCTTATTTTAAGGCTGGACAGGTATACCAGTGAAAAGTTGAAGTAAAAAGGTGTTGATGCAATGCACTCTCTAAAATCGTTCTCCAGCAAGGCCATCATAGCTTCTGTACACTAAAAATCCGATTGAACACATTCACAAGCAACGGCTCCACAGGATGATGCGAGAAGGCTTTGAGGAAAGTGATCCCACCAGCACTTTCATGCCTCTACGCTTTGCCAGTGCTCTTAGGACCTCCTGCGTCTGACGTTGGCTCCTGGAAAAACAAGAATACACAGCACTATGAACTGTGCACTCAGCATTTAAATAAGTGTACTAAGGATGCACATATATGCTCAAAACTTGATGCAACCAAACCAGAACTTTTAGACTCTTTCCGAAATTGTAAAGCTAGCTTGCCTCGATTGCAGTCTCAACAATATAGGCGGCTTGTCATTTAGCACAAATAGCCCATTCAAGCGTGGTTTGCTTATGCAATGACAATGACGTGGCAAATGTTGTGTTGGCTCTCTTATGCCTTGACGTAACAATATGAACACTAACGATAAACAAGCCCCAGCACTTTCAACTAGGACCGCGTCCCCGCTTGAAGCATGACAAGGTGCTGCCATTACTTGAGCAAATATGATAAAAAGGGTCGATTTTAAGGCAATTAAGGGACAAAAGGTGCTACGTTTAGTGACAGCTAGTAACGCCTTGCCAATTTTTCCAGCATAAGATAACTTCACTGCGGCGAAAGTGAGTCTACTGTGTGGCGCTAACAGTTTGCTAAAGAAGGTGGAAATATTAAAAGCCATAAAAGCAAGGTTCTCTCGAAAGTCAATGAGCAAACTGAACACAAAGAGGAGCACACAGAAGATGTGCAAGAAATGAGTCCTACATCCTGTGACAGTGAGAAGTTCTGTGGTAAGAGAAAAACGATGAGCACAGCAGCATGGCCCAAGTTTGAAGACAAGCATTCGGAGATAGATTGCCCACTGGCATGGTGCGCGACTATCTGAGAGTGACCGCACCGTTTGGGCACATGCCAAAAAACTATGCACTGAAGATCAATGAACACTGAAGACCTCAAGGCATCAAAAGGCTGGATCAACCGATTTAATCCCTTCGATGGTCAAAAACGTGCAGTAAACTCTCGGTAAACAAAAATCTGTTAAACGGACCTGCTGCTTAGAGGCCAACTGCAACGAAATTTGGCACTCCGCAAAAAGTCAATATATAGGTAGTCCAGCTAGAGGTAGTGCTGCCTACCAAATGTCGCCTTCGAAATACCTTAGAAAAAAGCTTGCAAACGACATTGTTTTTGAGACCGAAACTAGACAAAACTACGCAATCACGGCTAAACGGAAGTGACGTGAACGACAGAAGAATTGTCTGCTCTGCGCTCCATGAGCATGCACATCGCGGACGCGATGTGCGTGTTTTTTTCTATGTTAACTTAAGAAAGCTGCGTGAGCATGGCTCTTATCGAATGCTGGTCTGGGCTTCCGTAGGTTAGCTATGTCTGACCGCTGTGTTAAGAAACGCTGCTTAACTTGACTTGTCTTCGACTTCGATGCAGCCCGAACACGTTTCGAACGCGGTGTCTTTACACGGTGCCAAGGCAGCACAAATGCCCAGACGCATTCCAAACACGCTGCATTGAAAGCGGTTTCAATGCAGGAAAAGAGCGATTATCGACAGGGAGGATTGGTCACAAGGAGCGATGCGGCGACGTTCTGTAGTATTGGTCATGTGTGGTTCTGTCTGATTTGCCTGGGCACACTGCTAGAGCTCTGCATCCTCTGCTTGCTGACAATTAGAGCACCAATTATAAATTAAATACACGACTCCAAGGTTTTTCACTGTCATTATCGTAACTTACTCTATATATACTACGTGTTCATGGCTCTTTCCACCCAAGTAAAATTTCGTTGCGGTTGGCCTTTACCTGGAACGAGTGCTTCTGACAAGATTGGCATTGTTTTTGCATTCTGCAGTCTTGGCCATCGTTCAGTCAATGAAATTCCAGCTAAACGAAACATATATTCCTGGTTCCTTCAGGTTGCGTTTAAAGGGACACTAAAGTGAAATAACAATTGTCGTCAGAGTGAAAGCTCAATGTATGACAACACCTAAAACGACAATATTAACAACAGTGCCCTACTTACCAAGAAATTAAGGTAAATGCACAAGAACATAAGCGCCGCAGTAGGACATTTTCAAAATGATCCCAATTGCATCAGATGGACCGCCACAATGAATCACTGGTAATCAATCTAACTGCACAAAATAAAGAAACTTCCGTTCATCAAGAGACATAATAAAATGCTGCTTGTCCGTTTCTGTTTGATTGATGAAAAAAAGAACTGCCGGACGTTATTATGGGGAATGACGAGAGTGGTTCAAAAATTCAATTTTCGCGTGGTTACATGGGACAGGTGGTGCCATCTAGCGGGGCACAGTTGAAACAAAAAAATGTCTGCAGTCTCGAAGCCAATGGCGGGAAATTGATCAATGGCCGATGTTGGTGCTCTTCCTCCCGCTGCCTTCAATCTGTTTCTCGAGGTGGGCAAGTCCACTAACCTGATGCGGACCACTAAAACATGATTTTACTTCAAAATAGGCCCTTCCTTGGTACAGAAGTAACACTACGAGGTTTCTGGACAGCCATTTCAACAAACAACGTCGACTTAATAGTTGCCTTTAGTGCCCCTTTAATGAGAGTCTACTGTATACCTACGTCATCCTCAACAAGACGGTTGAAGGCAGTATATCCAGGTCATTGCGTGTGGTTGTCAAATGCACGGCTTTTTCGATCATTTTTCTTGCTTGGCAGGTGCTGTCACGTTGAAATATTTAGAATGATTTTTAGCACTAATGCCTACTTCCCTTCTTTTTTTTATGCTCTATAGCAGTGGTGCAGACAGCTAGCTTCAGTATCGTCGTCCTTTGGTCAGTGGCAGTTTATAACACCCACGAAACTGATGGCTTTCTGGTTTAAAATATTTCAAAATATTACGGACTTGTAATTAGTATCTTGTTTTTTGCTTTCCAGTACTGCAATTATGCCTGTTTCTGTGCAAGCGCTGGACTGACACAAACTATGCCGCTGTGGTTGCGTTTCCTGTTTCGGGGAATTACAAAAACAGTTTTCTTTTCCTTGATGATAAAGCAAAATTATTACAGGTTTACAAATTTGCTTTGCTTTCTGGGCATGCTTACAACTACACAATTTACTACAGTGCACTCCGCTGTGCCCTTCGCTTGCACTGTGCAAGTACACGACAGTTTCTCGTCTGCTACAGTGAGCCAAGTGGTGATTCTGCATCATCGTCAGACTGGCAAATCAGAATCTGATTTGGTAAATGCCGGCCCATCATACGAGGCTTTACTTACAAGTTAAGATTGAAATTTTGATAAGCAGGCAACGCCATATGGGTGTGCAGCAAGATGATGATGATTGGATGAAAAGTGGCTTTTTGTGCTCTCTCTCTCTTTCTGTTTCTACTTTGCACTCATATTCCTATCTCTGAACTACACAGACGCTCATTGCAACACATAATTTCTTAATAAACGCATAGGTTTTTTGAAAATGTACGGGGCTGTTACTCATGAAAAAACAAATAAAATAGTAAACATGTGCATATGTATCAACACAAAAAGATTCTTTTTGTCACTTCATGGTGACCAAAAAACAATTTTAGACAAGTTTTTGCAGAAATGATTTGTCTGAAAAATTTAATTCAATAAAAAAATCACTTTTCTCGAATACATCTTGCAAAAAAAAAAAAAAGTGACCGCAAGAAGTTAAATAATTTCTTGGTTTCAAAACAAACTCAATACAGCTGTGAAGGCACACAGTTCTGTCTGTGTATGATATCAGCAAAACAATATGTATTCTTAATAGTACGATACAAACTGAGCATGTCATCACTGAGCTGTTTTATTTATTTGTTTACCTATTTGTAAACTTAACAAATGTATATCCACTCAGTTAAAGCCTCAATTGGGGGCTGCAGTACTCATAAATAAACAAATAAAAAATAAGCAGATACACAAACAAATGAATAATTTCCATCGCTGCTCCTGCTGCTCTGAAACGTGGTGATAATGGTGTTCAAGCTGCAGCAGCATAAGCAGTCAGGTTTCCCCCCATCCTGGGTGGTAGTGAAAATGCCGCCAAAGACTCCACTTCACCGCCCATCACTTTGGTTTACTACCCACCAATTCCAAGAATCCACCCACTCCTCGAACTGTTCCCTTTCAAACGTGCACCTGAAGAACCAAGAACAAAAAGCATATACGTGTGCACAACGCTATCGCATAGAAAACCTACATAGAGTAAACCTCGTTGCAATAAATCTGCTTACAACAGACATTCGGATACTACATACTACTAATTGTCTGCGTTATGCCGACCTCCATACGGGGAGTATGCATTGAAACTGAGCGTTACGTGGCGCAGTGGTGCTCCGGACCGCGCGCCATCTTCGTGGTTTTCATGCAGCAGACAATCACGCTTGCCACTGTGTTTACTGTTCGTATGTGATAAGTGTTGTGTGCTGTTCCGTGTCCTCGTGTTTTAAGTTTGTGATACTACGGAGCTGGAACTCTTCTCTATCACCTGCATGTTGCACAGATCGAGTCGTTGACCTGGCTGTGTTAACGATCACCGTGTTGTTGCTGTGAAAAGATGCAGCTTAGTGACTACACTAAGTCGCTGTATGATCCCGAGCACAGCAGATACCACATCAAAGTCGCAAAATGCAGTGGCGACGACCCCTTGGTGCTTTCTGACGACCAGTTCACAAACGATGTAGGCTTTTATCCCAGCGTGGATCGTGCAGATATAAACGATTATTTTGTTCACGGGACAACCTTCGTGAAGGGGGAGCAGCTTAAGAGCTTCAAATCCCTGGAGGCTCACAATTATGTGACAAGCAGCCTCATGGAGCTACCAAGGATAAAAACTCTTCGTGATGGCAATGTCGTCGTTTCAAAGGTAGACTGTACATAACAGTACCCAATGTTCGCAACTTGCTCTAGATATCCGTAAAATGAGAGATCGGGTGCTAAAGTGGTAAAGCTTGCTATCAGCCGCTAATGTGGCACTCAGCCAATCAAACTTTTTTGCCGCTATCACTAGATGGGCAGCCAAGCGTTCCGCGTGTTTTTTTCGCACTTGAGACCGGGGAAGTGCTGGAATTTTAGTGCTAAGGGAGGGGGGAACTGAAGACACGCAAGTTCGTTTAGGGGGATAGGGAACATATGTGTTGTGTTTTGACTGTTTGCTCGAGGGGGCAGGCGGAAATTTAGAGGGAGCTCCAGCCCCCGCACCTGTTGGCGTCGCCCCTGGCTTGTAGTCTTCACGACGAATTCTGCTAAGCCATAGAGCTCTGCACCTTGGTGACAGCTCCGTTGTCTTTCGCACACTATCCTGATACGACTTTCAGCAAGAAGAAGAAGCCTACTCATTGAAAGTTCTCGTCGTTGAGCTTGTTTTTGAGCGGTTAGATCAACAGTACAGAGTGCAGTTCACCATAGCTGATTGACACAGCTCGACATGCAACAACGTAACTAGGGTCTGTGCACTCGTACAAGTCCATGAAACACGCAGTGGTAGGGAGAAGTTTCAGCGCTGTAGTGTCGCAAGTTTAACCCACGAGACACGGAAGGTCAAGGAAGACCACACAACACCCATCACATACGCAAGGTAAACACAGTGGCAAGCATGAACGTCTGCTGCGTGAAAACCACGACGAAAACCACGAAGATGGCGCCCAGTCCGGCGCACTGCTATGCCACATGGTGGCTCAGTTTCAATGCATACTCTCTAATTGGTTTTGATTTAGCTTTGTTTACTACGGATTCTGGTACAACAGACATTCAGATATAATTGACTCAAATAATGAGACTAGCAAGGTTGTCAGGACTCCCTTACAGCGGACTTTTCTAGCAGACATCTTAAATTGTATTACTTACGACTTCAAACATTGTTTGGTATACTTTCGGGGTGGAAATAGCGCTGTTGATCGACGTACCGATTTCGGAACGAAGGCTTCCATCTCTGGACTGTTAACAATTAGTAATGCCAAAATACGGCGACGAAAAATAGACGCGCAGTCTACTCCGTTTCGCCTGTTTGGGCGCTCGCGTGAAATCGCTAGCCTTTGCCATCCCTGTTCCGAGCGGTCGGTGCGTGGCGAGCATGCCCGGAGTCCGCTACCGATGCGCAAGATGCCTATTCGCTGTTCTATTGAGCCAGAAGCTGATGTGATTCATCGCTTGCGACAAGCACATTACGGCTTCGTCGCTTTTGCATATTTGCTAGAGCAACGGTCTTGCCCGCCAAGTTCGGGGAGGAGTTAGGCAGCCACGACTTTGAGCAGAAACTCGGCTGCGATGTGCATGGTCGCGGTGCTCGATGTTCCAAAAGTACGGCATGCTCAATAGTGAGCACAAAGATGTGTTTTGCGACGGTCTTCGTCACCTCGTGACACACAAGAAGCACATGGCGCTATCTTGGAGGCGTATATCCCAGAGCGACCATTGGACCAGCGAGGTGTACTGAAGCAACACAGTAGAAGTAGCCAGTGGAAGGCCTTGAAATGAATTTTAAACATCTGCTATTTGAATACTGAACACTCTTTACGATACACTTTTACAGCGAGCCCAAAATGCTGGTGCGCAGTTGTGAAGCTATACACACACAAAAAAAAAAAACAAAAAAAAGGTTTTTTAAAAAACTTTCACAATGAATTTCACCACCTCCACAAGCACGGAAATCTTTTCACAGCCCTTCTACACAGTTTTCAGTGTAGATATTTTAGAATCAGCTGAAAAAAGGCTACAGGAACTGAAAATAGGATTTAAAAAATACATCTTTTTATGCCCTACTGAGAATATATCTGTTTATGACCTTGCTATTCTAGTCTGGTTATATCAGACCCAGTCAGTGTCTACATAAAAGTCTATTGTAACAGTACTTGGATTTTACAAGCCGCTTTTACAACAGTCCGAAATCCTCTTCACTATGGAGGTCTATTGTAATGAGGTTATACTGTACTTGCATTACTTTGAGCTTGTAGCTTGTTTTGTACAGTGGTTATCAGTGGGCCGTGCCTTTTACCACCTTGATACTTACATCTGTGTCACACGGGCACTTTTGAAAAGCCTTAGAGTCTCGAAAAACCACAGGTCCATCAACTCGACAGAATTGTCGACTGCTACAGTTTTCAATGGCCGTTGAGGTGTTAAGGCATTTCTCGCAAAAATTATGTGGCGCTGCAAATCTTGATCTTTATTTCCATTTTATCTCAAGTGAAAGAAAATATATACCCTTAAATGCACACATGCATGTGTTATTTTTGTTTAAAGATTTCAATAAATTGTTTATACATAATCCTGAACGTATGTTTGGTTTTTAAATTGTTGAGCAGCTGGTCACCGCTTGTCAACTTTGGCACGTTCGTGCTGCTTCTGCTTCCGTCACTCAATAGCCATCGAAGTTCTAGTGGAGTTGTGGGATGCTCCGTTGACTCCACAGACACAAGTAGCCTTTGAAACCACCTGTGTGGCTGCTCGTGTTTTACAGTTGAGTTAATAGACCCTATGGTTCAATGGCCTTCCAGATGTCCGTGTGACACAGGTACTAAAAAGGTGTCTGCACAAGTGAATTTGAGGCCTCAAAGATCACCAATTCTAGCATGAATGCTCGAGCACAAGCATGAATGCTCGAGCACAAGCGTCCTTGCCTTCATCTTGCATGCACCGACCTCGTCATTCCAGCCTGCGCACTCAAGGCGACAGATGTGCAGTACAGCTTTCCAGTACGCACAAGCAGATATCAAATGTAAATTGCACCAAAAATGATAAAATGATAAGAGTTCTTCAACTTAGGACACCCAAAGGTCTCACGTTTATCTTCTGTTACTCTTCCGAGCCCTCTGACAATCACAGGGTTCAACAAAAAAGACACTCACGGCGGACTTCACATATTTTGCTGCACAAGTGTCTGCGTATGGCACTGAGCCTCCGTGCAGCAAATGGATCCTTGCCCACGAACATTTTGAAGAGCTCTATGCAGAAGTGAAAAGAGATAAAAAGAAAGAAAAGAGGCAATCAATGCAATGAAATGTTGCAGTGAATACAGCCCTTACATTATTCAATACATGACTTAATTAACAACCCATCTTAATGCCACACTCCCACACAACACACCTAAACAAATGGTTAAAAGGAGGTGTTTAAAAAAAGTTCGTCATCCCCTCGCTAATTAATCTGCACTCAGTTCGGAGCAAAGTGAGGATGAGCAATTCACACAGTGAATCTGCGCGCACAACGGAGCGAGCCACCCGGCAGCGACAGCATGGGCAGCATAGGCGCCACACTGGACGCACCTAACCAGGAGATGAAACACGACCACTCCGTGTTTCAGTGGAACTGTCAGTTGTTGCTTAGAATGAGATTGCGATAGAAAAGCACACACATGTACCGTGGAAAGCCGGTAGTGTCTATTATGTCGCTACTTCAGCCACTGTGCAAGTTTCTACATGCTCCTTGGCGTCAGCACTGCACGCTATAAAACGATCGTGCCGAGAGTGCCAGTCCAATAGCTTCTCCGCATTTCGGCAAAAATAAGAAAAGAAGACTTTCTGGTGCCTACTTTGGCCAACATCTGCTAGTGGTACTGTAGTATTTGTTTCAGGAGATGCACATCTGTACTTCTAAACACATCTGCCGTTTAGTGCATGGTCATGCCGCATTCCCGGCTGGTGCAAATTATCGAGGTTTCACTGTATAATTCACAGTTACTTATGTTGGTGCCACCACTTTTGCGGGGAAATCACGATGATAACAGACAAGCACTACTTGGAAAAAAAAGAAGCAAGCCCTACAAATGAATCGAATTACGTGACCGAACTACACTGGATATGAATTTGGCCACATTCTTTGTGTAGCCGAACATCAGTGTTGCTTGGTCGACAATAATAATCGGCTAAATTTCACTGGTTTAACTTCCGATCGACAATTATCCCCGAATCGCCGTTTGTGTGCAGCCTGGAAGAGGGGGTCAGATTGGCACAGAATGGCGCAACTGGCACAGCGTTTTCACTTCTGTGCATAACAAAGCAGCAAAATTACTTTTTTTACATATAGTGACACCATAATGAATACGACACCTGTGATGGTTAAGGACGTTCGTCACTGTGTTTGTTGATAGCGGACGAAAAAGGATTAACATCAACAATGGATGCGAACAAAAAAAGCGTTATATTACACACTAGAGAGCGAAGTGGCAGGTGAAAATAAAACTATATGTCCAACCCTACACGCCACGCGTCACGCATCATGTACGAGAGTCAGACCTCTAGCATGCGGAGAGCTCGCGGCTACGCTTACTCCGAGTCCAGCGCGTAGAGTTCTCAGTTCGCAAGAGAAAAACGCTGCCTCACAGTTTGGGTCCCCGTCGTCCCGACATGATGCGATCGTCGACGTGCGCGAGGGCAAAGGTGGCACGGCTGGAGCGGCTGGAACGGCTTACGGCACACGGATGCGCTACCGTGTGCAGCGTCGTTTAGTCAGACGTCGCGGCCAGCAGTCAGGGTCGCAACTCCTGAGGTTCAGGGTCAGGCCCCGGCTCACGAGGACCACGCCCGGTAGGCCTCGCCACGAACCTGCTCCCGGCCCACGAGGACCACGCCCGGTAGGCCTCGCCACGAACCTGCTCCCGGCCACTGCACCCAGGCAGGAGCCGTTCAGCAGGCCCCGTCCTTGTACCTTGTAGAAGCCGGCGGACTCGACCCCGAACGAACACGCCGGAGCTCGACCTGGCCGACACGTACGGGTCCCACGTCCGGCTCAGGAACGCTCCCAGGAACTCGTCCTCTCGAGCGGCGCACTGCTTCGTCTGCCTTCGTGGCCTCCACGCTCGAGCTAGTTTTCGCACGCTCCTTCTGCTTCTCCTCTTCTTTTTCCTTTCTTGTTATCGCCTTCGTGCCACCTGCCCTCCGCTCGTCTTCTTCAGTTTCGGTTTGGCGTCCCTCGGCGCTTTTAAGTCCTTTTAGCCACAAATCGTACCTAAGCACAGCACTTTTGTGTCCTTTCCTTACAACACCATTTGGCTTGTGCTCAGCACCGGCAACGTTTCAACGGCAAATGGACACCATACTATCAGGACAGAAATTGCAGACGTGCTTAGTGTATTCAGATGACATCATCGTATTTTCTGCCACATTCCACAAACACGTCAGGCGACTGCACTCATTATTTCAAGCTATCCGTTCCGCCGGACTAACACTTAAGCCGCAAAAATGCCACTTCGGCTTCGAAGAGCTTCTGTTTCTGGGACATCTTGTCAGCAGTGAAGGTGTGCGGCATGACCCTGAAAAAATAGCTGCCGTTACGTATTTCCCAACGCCAACTGACAAAAAGGCGGTCAGACCATTTTTAGGACTCTGTGCTTACTACTGACGCTTCAGTGAGAACTTTTCGCGCATTGCCTAGCTGTTGACCCGCGTTACCAGACAAGACCTCGCATTCGTATGGAATGACGAACACCAAAAATCATTCGACGAGCTGCGGCAACGCCTTCAGAAGCCACCAGTCTTCCCACACTTCGATGACGATGCCCCGACAACAGTGCACATCGATGCCAGCAATGTCGGGTTAGGAGCTGCACTCGTGCAGTGGCAGGATGGCACCGAACGAGTAATTGCTTATGCGAGCAGAACTCTTTCATGCACGGAATAAAATTATTCCATCACAAAAGAAGAGCAGCCGCTTTGACGCCGTCTTCCTTGGAGGAACCATGGTTGCTGTCCACGCTCATCACTTTGTGGTCCTCTGTCTGCCTGCCCGGCCTTTAGCCATGAAAATATTAAATATTATGACAGCATTTTTGTACCACACTTGACTACACTCAGGTGAAACTGCGCTAAAAAATCTAACTGGCATGTTAGACTCTGCGATCACAATTAATCACCAACTGCATAGGAAAAATAGTCTAGCCCTTTTGGCCCTGAACGACAGCACAAAAATATTTTTCAGAAACCTTGAAAACAAAACCAAACCTTCTCATTCTTAGAGAAGTATTTTTCAATTATCCTTACTGCAATAGACACCACCGCCGTGTCATTTTCGCGAAGCTCAGAGATGTAAAGAAGAAGTAGTTTGACCGAAGTCATGAGTGATGACGAGGCAGGCAAGCAGAGATGGGAAAGTGGTGTCTTTTGAATGAAGTCTCGAAATCGTTTTAAGAGCTTCCACAGTGTAAAATACTACACTGGTTCAGATTTTGTGTACTCTAGTGCATGGCAGGAACAAATTTGCCATTTTTGTCATTTCAAGACTACAAGGGCTATGACGACCTATTTTATGTCATGTCTGTAAAATCATAAATACTTACACCACTGACTAAACTTTTTGTTTGTGGTCTTCTAAGCTCCTAACTATAAGTAAAATACGTACTAAAAATGTGTCTGAAGAAAACTGAAAATTTCAGGGCTGGAAGGGCTAAGATACAAGTTGTTAAAAAGTGTGGTCAATGTTTTCCAGCAAATTACTTGTAGTTTGGCTAGGCTTCTATCCTAACTATTTCCAAACTTGGGCTCGAGCAATACTACCATGATTAAATGCAAGAACAATATCCAAAGTCGCAATCCTAAAGACTCTGAATCTAAACAAAGACATCGAAGACACCGCAACTTTATTCCCATTAACTCAACATTTACACCGGGCCATTTTCACACACTATTCAGTCTAATTGCATCACAAATAATAGTCATGTCTATTAGAGCACACTCATTGTCACCATGTATGTGATTTGTCAAGAGGCACAGAAGTGGCCGAGAGGTTCAACAATGAAGTGCTTGCTAGGTCATTGTTTAGTGCCTCAGTACGTCACTGGCTTTTATTCACACCTACAAGAGAACTGCATGGGTTTCCATGAAGTTTACACTTCCTGGAGGCCTTCTTTACCCCCAACATCTAAGCTTATCAACAAGCATGGCAAACACAAGGCGTAATGAAGCTAGGAGCTGAAAGTGTTCGTAACGATGCGCTCCGAAGACAAAGTGTGAACATTTTTATTACACCCCTTCCCTACGTAATGCCTACATGGCGATGCAGGTCACCAGTAAATAAATAAATAAATAAAGACACACAGTGTCTTCAGATGGCCTTAAAGTTACCGGACAGTTTTCTTTACGAATTACATAAACTTTTTTTTTACACAAATAAATAGACTGTAAACACAGAGCGCATACGAGGGGCTTGTAGGGTGGGCTTTCACCCACTACTTGCTTTCCAGAAAAGTGGTTCTGAGCCACAAAAAATGCCGCTTAAGAAAAGCATGAATGTGGAAAATATGCACAAAAGGGACAGCCTTCTCCAATTTCAAAGAAAACAAAAAGTTTTTTTTTTTAACATTTGCCTTACCTTGTGCTTTTAATCACAATACTGTAACTGCAGGCTGTGTAAGTATTTCTCATAACTGTTTGTCATAATTTTTTTTTTTGAAAAGCTTGCACCAAAATGCACAAGGCTGGGTCGCAGCAGAGCTAATGGGCACCTAGCTCGTTATGGATCTGTTAGGCTTTCACGCCGCTGTCTTCACCACCCCGTGCTGAGCAACAAGCTTAAAAAGGCACTGAAACGAAACTTCTAAGCTCGAAATGTTTTCTTTATTTGATTGCTCAGTATGCACAAGTATTTTTGACCAAATTTGAATGACGTCCATCACTTGGGAAGTTATTTTATTTCGAGGGAAAAGAACGTCCAAAAGCACATGGGCTTTCGGCACATTGTGTCATCAACACTACTCTAGCGTGTTCGGAGTGGCGCATACCATCCGGAGTGAAGACGTGCAACGTCAACGATCCAAGTGTTCTTTCTAATTGTGGAGCCAATGCCTGGAAAAGCCCTCACTCTTCATGCCAGATCTTCCTCATGCTGCTTCAAATTATTTCATGGAATTGCAAGACAAAATCCATCAAAAGACAGGCAAAAGGATAGAGCCTAATTCAACATGTGCTCGTCAGTCAGCATATTAAGGAACAGCTGTGCGCTGTAGTTGTTT